ATTTTTGGTTTAATATTATAAATTTTATAAAGATAATAATTAAGTATTCTGTTAGAATTTAATGATTATACTAATTATATTTTAGATTTTTTATACTTAAAATGAGATGTTTATCTTGTATTTGATTGTGTTTATCTACAATTAGTTACACGAATTCAGATATGTGATGAAATCGGAAAGGGATGAACGGGTTTAAGAGTTTTTAAGAGTTTTAGCCAAATGCTTTATAAGATAGTATAGATTGTATAGATTTTTATCGAAATGATTAATGGGCCCTGATGCGTAAGAAATATGTTTTGGATCACTTTATTTCTTTATAATCATATATTGTGGACTGACGTTTTAGTTGTTAATGGGCTGAGCCCATTTGAAGTTAACAAGTGGTGGGTTGAATTCTAAGGGTATCTTGAAATGTAATAGACTATGCGATAGAAAAATAATGCACAATTATATTTTGGACCTGGGACTGCATTTGGGAAGTTGGCATTAGGGACGGCTAAAAATCAATCCTGGACACGTCAGGTCCGAATCGGTCCCTCTGTCTCAAATACTATTTTCGTAACCAGTCCCGGCATAACTGGTCCAGGTCACGACCAAAAACCAAGGCCCAATTAAGGTACTTTGTAACCGATTATGATAACAAATCCCGGTCTTGGGCCAGACCCAAACCGGTCCTATGCATTTTTTAAAATTCGATTTTTTATACAATCTTTTTGAAGTTTTTGAAAAAAATACAAAAGTGTTATTTGAATACACTTGAAAATATGTAATTGAGTTAATTAAATACACTTAAAAAATACGTTTTTTTTGCAAAAATATGACTCAAAATCACGAATTATAAACAAGAATTATGAATGTTTATGACTTGGTATCCCTCCATACACCATATGACTTATATATAATGAATAAAGAGTAAACAGGACAAAAAAAGGCCAAAAATGGGAAAAAGATTTGGTATCAGTAATAAAACAGTAATATTTTTTAAAATCGGCCAGGCTAGGCCGAACCTTCTTTTTTGATGAAAACTGTAATTGGTCCTGACCGCCAGTCCCAAACCGATCCCAGGCCGGGCCGGTCCCAAGTCGGTCCCGGTCCTAGGCCGGGCCCAGTTGCCCGTCTCTAATTGGCACCCACTTGATGGAATTGAGATTTGGACCGGTAACTGGACCTAAATTGGTCCTAAGATTTTTGGTTTGGTCCACGTCCAGACACCCCGGTTCTAAAGGGACCGATTTAGGACGGCCATCGGTTATTCGGCCATCTTTAGTCTCGATGTTTGAGAAAAAGCAAGGATTTGTCTGGAAATCGATGAAGTTCTTATTTATCATTTTTCCCTTTTCGTTTATAGACGTTAACGGTAAAAAACGTTGCCAGCCACCACCCCTGTAAATACGTTGGATATGAAAATTCAGGAACAACCATTTGAAAGAACAAATAGACATTTTGCATTTCTTTATCTGGAGACAGTGGCTATAAACTACAAGAAAGCAAACAAGTCAACAAAAAAATAACAAAGAATCACAAAATACAACAATACCATGAGTAATAACAAGTTAACGATAAATAATAAAGTTGTTGCTTCTCTCTGCATAGAATTTGTGGTGCGGTGCAGCCTTGAGGAACCGTTGGGGCTAGTTGGCTCGGTTAACCTTCAGGTATGGCAAGGCCCCTATCACATTGTTGTAGTCACAACGGTCAACTTGTAGCTGCACAAGATAAACAAGCGTTGTGAGAAATAATACATGACAATTCGGAATTTCTTAACAGCAAACAAGGAGCTTTGATTAATGTAGTCAAGATGATTATAAACAAAAAACAATCAAAGCAATCCCAATATATTAGTCTTGTGGGGTAGGATGTATGCAGACCTGCGTTGTCCTTTATCCCAAGGAGTAGAGTGACTGTTTTCATGAACGTATTCAGAATAATTATGTATGTACGAATATACAGTCTCAATTAATCTTAGACTTCAAAGCTTTTCTTGTTATTCCTTTCGCAAGCTAACCTTCTCTCTCCATCTTTACTCTTCTTCATCTAGAGACAAGCGACAAGTGGACCAATGCAAGAGTTTAGGGCTACCCCTTTCGACCGCTACTAATCTTAGTACTAGATGTGTAAGCTTTTTGGTTAATAACAACAATAAACTCGAATCTTTTTGGCGGAAATGGAGCAAAGCCCGATAATATAATCCCATCCAATTCTCTCAATTGCAAACTTATAACATCGAGTATACAACGACATGAAAGTAAAAAGGATTTCTAGGAATTTGTTTGTTTCCATGATGGATGAATTCGAACTGTTTAGATTCCATTTTTCATGTAGACATGGGAGAATTTCTAGCAAAAAGGTTTAAGCAACAATGGCTAAATGCCTTAGAGCGAAATTCTAGTTCTCAACACTTGTATCAATAAGAACTACACTACACAATGGGAAATAACAGCCAGCCCTTCCATTTCTCTTTCATTTTGCAAAGATGTTGTTCTATGGCTCAAACTTTTGTTGTTTCTAGCAAGTGGTGCTTATTTCAATGAGTTCTGGTTGCAACCTTTTCGCCATATCTAAGAAAGAATTAGAAATATAGTTTTCCATAAAGATGTGTTTCTTAACTTGAAAACTTTAGGGGGACACATATATCACCTGTTACAAGGTGAATTATAAGGGGGTTGAGTCTTGCAGAAACCGATAGGATTACTTCTACATGATAAGCTTCGAGTCAAGAGAACTTCTTTGCCAAATGCAAGAAAAACAAACCATGACAACTTTGAGGAGTCACAGTGGACCAAACCATGGCACATTATTAAACAATCTTACTATATCTGTAAAAGTGTACATGACTACTATAACCACTGTTGGCCACCAAGCACCACTGCTTCTACCTCCATAACCACTGTTGGCCACCGACCACCACCGCCCATTGCCACTACTACCGTCGGCCACCACCACCTCCACCATAACCAAAACCACCTCCACCAACACCACTACTACCGTCAATTATATCAAATTTTTCATCCAAATTTGGTACAAATATGAAAATTATGTACAAATATTTATAAATTAAATTCTTTAATGATTTACTTTATTTGTGTTCATTACAACTATTATATAATATTTAAAAACTCATTAAATAACTTTTGGGGGTAGCTTGTCTAGTTCTGTCCCGTCCAGTCCTAATCGTACCAAACACCAGACATACTCTTGTTATGTCCAGTCTTGTCCTGTCCAGTCCTACCCTCTTGTCATGTCCTGTTCAGTCCTGTCCAATTATGTCTACGTACCAAACGCTACCTAAGAGTACTATGATCTTAAACTGAACCAAATCAAACAAACAAGCCCAATATATCCTATCCGGAGGTGGAGGCTAGGGAGGGTGGGATGTATGCAAACCGGTCCACTATCAGAGTGTAGAGCAGTTGTGTCCATGAAGACCCCTGACTTGCAAGAAGTATGCGAAAAAGAAAGCTTGCCAAAAAATTCTAAAACAAAAAAGAAGAGAAGAAGGAAAAGAAGACTACAATATGATACAAGCATGTACAAAGGAATATAGCGAAGGTAATCTTAGGACTCTGGTAGCCTATCTCCATGTACTACGATCTTAGACTGGTAAGTATAAAAGAAAATTTGACCATAAGATCTCTCAACTTACATAGGAGACAAAGCTTTTTATCAAATGGTCGAGGGGCTAAAAGATGTCATGAAATTCCTTTATTACATCAACTAGACAATCCGGTTGATCCTTGAAAAAGCTATGCAATACTCCCTCCATCCATAAATTAGCAACTTTTGACGAGACATAGTTTAAGGGAAGTATTTCATTACCGGTACAGCGTCTTAAACACCATTCAGAGAAAACATTGGTACTTTTGTGGACCCAAACCAATAAACCAAACTGAATGAAGTAAATTTCACTCAAGAGTAAGGTCTGGTGGGTGGGATGTATGCAGACACAACCTCTACCTCAAAGGTCTCCGAGTGTAAGTTATGTGTCACTTTAGTGTATAAAGTTGCAGAAAGTAGAAATTATTTTGGTTTTCATGGACCAAAGAGAGCATAATAGGTTTCTAGTACTTCCTACACAAGTGCTGACTTATAAGCAACAGAGCTCGTAAAACTATTTCTAAAATGCCACAGATCACAACCCAAAAGGTTAAGAGATAAACAACCACACAATTACTCAGCTATATAATTAATCTGCATATCTGGAACTCTTTGATTTGAACTACTCCAAATCCAGCAATACCAAATTATGTATCAAGAACAGTATTGTTTAATCATGTAATCCAAAATGCATCTCTAATTTCGTAGGTTTAAACACTAACCGATTTAGAGAGGCGTGTTCTCCTCTTAGCATTCTTCTTTCTAAGCAAATGCTGCTTCCCAGCTCTCCTCCTCATTATCTTCCCAGAACCCGTTACCCTGAATCGCTTTGCTGAAGCCTGCAATTGCAGATTTCAAGATAACAAATCGAACAAAGTACATCATTGACAGGTGAAAAGGAGAGAATGTTTTTGTGTGTGTGGATATATTTATATATCTGTGTGTGTGTGTGTTTGATGAAAAATGCTCAAATTGATTTCATGAAGTCGTAGTCTTCACAAAAATGTTTAAGGTGATACTGATTTCATGAATGAAAACTTGACCCAAAAAGTTGAGTAAAAACCAACAAATTAATTGAACATAAACCCACATATACATTCATTTGAAAATGTAGTTACACATACCAATTTATTCAATGAAGAGAATAAACAAAACCACTAGCAAACGAAGAAACTGAGAGCAAATCACCTTGTGGGTCTTCATCTTATACCCCTTGGCAGATACAATTGTGAGAGATTGGGGTTTTCGATTGGGGGAAGAGACGATTAAAGCTCTGTTCGAAAGAAGTGGGGAGAAAACAGAGATGGTCTGTGATGATGAGAGATTCAATGGCGTGGTTTTCTTGGCGAATTGTGAAAGACAAACGGTGGTATTACAAGAAGGGTTTGTACGAAGAGGTTTAACTGGAGTCAAGAGTGAAGTGCAATTGAAAAACGTTGAAGACGCCATTGTTGTGGAGCTCTGTGTGGATAAAGGGATTTGGGGGTTTCAATCTTTTGTGCGGTATTTGTAACTGGCTTTTATCCATGGTTAGAAAAGGCTTTCCAGGTCATGGGTTTATCTTGTCCTAGAGTAAAGCTGATTCTATAGCCAAACAAAACATATTAGGGTGTTTGGGTTGCATATAAAAACAACTTATTGATTTATTTCAGTGTGATACTGGTAACAAATATTTTTTAGTATTTGGATAAATAACTTATACCGGTGGCAAATCAGTAATAAGAAGTTTTTGAAGAAATTAAACTCTTCTGATTTATAATAAGTTGATAAATGCTTTGTAGAAAATTATAAGTTGTTTCAAATAAGCAATCCCAAACACCTTCTTAAAGAAAAATTGAGGCTTGTATGATTGCATAAGAATCTTAGTGATTTAAAATTCAATTTTATTCCAATTTCATGTTTAATTTGAAGGATTGTTTGGATTTGAAATCCTATGATTTTATAGAAATTTCACACACATGAGATTTACAAATCCTATGAGGTTGTTGGTATTTTATGAGATTTTATAAGATTTGTGTGTAATAATGTTTTAAAATATGTTGAAAACATATGTTTTGTTATGATCAAGTAACAGATGAGATATTTAATTATTTTTATAATTTGTTTTTATATATTACTTATAAAAAATGGAATTTAATTTTATTCCAAATCTTACAAACTAAACACACCAAAGATTCCAAATCCATTTAAAATCCAACAAACCAAACACACCAAAGAATTCAAATCCTACAAATTCAAATCACTCAAAACCATTTCATCAAACCAAACGTCCCCTAAAAGAATCCACAAATTGAAATTTTTTGAGAGCTTATTTAGCATAATGAATATTTTTAAGTGTATAATACGTGTATATGATAAATCAAACTTACATATACATCTCGTATTTGGTGAAGTTCAAAAACTTTTCAAAAAGTTAGGTTACTAGATACCGGTAGATCAAAGTCCCTTTGATCATAATGAAAAGTTCCTGAATAAAGAACAAATTTTTGCTTATGCAGTCAAAAGTGTGGTTTTGCATTGTGTAGCGCAACCGAAATAGTTCCAAACAATCATATATTTCTTGGCAACTTCTATGAATACGTGGGTTGAAAACGTTGAGCTATTTTAATCGTGAATGAAATTTAGATTGGGAATGTTAATGAAATGTCAAGGGCAAGAGTCGAACATGAAGTTATATAGTGTAAGGATTTGTTTGCCAGATTGTAAACAGTTTAATTTTTTTTTTAAACTGAAAATTGTGTAGGATGAAAGAACGTGAAATTGGGACATTATGGCTGCACTGACATGGGCAAAAAAATACCCATAAATTCTTCTCTATTTAACGATTGAAACTCGTATTGAAATTCCGGAATTCATTGAGAATAGGAGAGAAATCGACTGGATAAGCAAAGATAGAGAGTATGCATTTTACCAGTTATTTCAAGGTGAGTTTTTTTTTTGTTAAGTTGCAATTGATAGTTCAATATTAGATTTTTTTTAATTATCTTGGAGTTCTTAGTAATACTGGTGTGGGCTGTAATGGTGGCTCGGCAGTCAAAAACATCTGCAGTAGCAACAATGTATGGAAAACAAAATGAAATTGGAACTCCATCGCTCGAGCTAATGATAGTTTCTTATGTCAGTAGCCGATATTAATTAGCATCTAGGATCTAATAAAAAAGGAAGACAATTGATCGAAAGACGACCCCCAAATTTACCCCGGAGTCCAACGTTGTTGTCACCGACCTCGATGGAAACCAGGTCGAATTCGAATCCTAGGTATCTACTACGGGCTGGATTGGGTTGATCCTTTTTCTGTTGGGCTATTTAGTTTACAATTGGACAGCTCTTGATTTAAATTAATTCTAACTTGATTTTCTCAAGTATTTTGTTAATCGCGTGAATTAATTAATTTAATCATGTTTTAATTTCGTGAATTACTTAATTAATGCATTAGTTATTCTTTGACCTATAAAAACTGATGAGGATCATGTTTTATTTTAGTATATGAGATGTGTAATATCAAACTTTTAAGTATCTGATTATCTAATGGCCTATAAAAGCCGATAAGGATAAAGTTTTTTTTGATGTGACATTATTTATTAATTTTTCAAATGGCAACTAAAGAAAAAAATTACACGTCATTTATTTTTTTAAAAATTGTAAAATTATTATTTTCACTTAAGCAGACAAAATTCCGTATTATTATTATTGTCAAAGACCTTCCAGCCTAGTGGTAAAGGCTTGGGCATGACATAGTCATGAACCCAAGTTCGAGCTCTGGAAGGAGAGTGTTGGCGACATTTAAGTGGGGTCATGTTTAGCCTCCAAATTTGCCGGGGATTAGTCGGGCTTTGGCCCGGACACCCTTACAAAAAAAAATTCCGTATTATTCTAATGATTAATGGAAGTATAAGTAAAATTTAAATCCTTAACTAGCCAATTAAAAGAGGCCAGGCCCATAGTTGACGAGGCGTAAAACAAAGATTGTTTTGTCAAAATGTTAACAACAACGTTTCTTTCGTATTGGAGCTTAAACGATGGTTTTGATTGTAGAAGTTGCAGACAATGTTGGATGATGATTCCTAATTCAGTGTTATCCTCTTCCCCTTCCCCTAGATTTACAGCATAAGTCACGACTTGGGAATCAATCTCGAAGATTACACGTTCATGCCCCGTTTTAGAATCCATGATATAGCTTCAATTAAGGCTAACCCTTCACACTCCTTTACTTCAGGGCATCCTCGAATTTGTATCATTTTGTAAGCCATCAAGGATCCTTCCTCGTTTCGTAATGCCATACCCGCTCCCATTCGGTCCTGGTCTTTGGAAATCGCAGGTCACAATTATATTTAAGAAACGATAAAGGCGAAGGATGCCATTCTGGGGAATGGTTCATTCTTCTCTTACGTTCCATATTTCTTTGCTTTTGAACTCTTTCTATTAACACAGCTAGACTGAGCTGGACTACAACAGCAAGCAGCGTAGTTGTATTCTTCCAGATCCGCTGGTTTCTTTAAAATTAAAAAAAATGTAAATAAGGTAAAAAAAAGGGTAAAATTTATAAAAAAGAATTACAAAAATAACTGTAAAGTTTTAAATGATTATGATTCTTGTAACATTTGTTAGGCCTATTTTTTAGGACCAAAATCGCATACCTGCATGCTTCGAACCGTCATTTCTTATAGAAAGATCCACACAAATTAATAATGGAGATAAATATAAACACACATCTTAGAGAGATGGTCAAATATCCTGATGAGAGCACAAGCCTTATCTAGTAATTTGGAACATTATTGATACTTTGAGTAGGTCTCAAATATTGGCATGTTTAAAGAGACAAAGATATTATTGGTGATGCTACAAAAGCTGGCATTGGCTTATGAGGAAGAACCGTTACAAAAACAAAAGCAGCTCACAATTATTACAAAGAAACTAACCATTGAGTTTTGAATATGATATTTTATCCATGTTTTCGTGTTGTTTTGGGTATGAAGAGTATCCACAGTTTGATGCTTTAGATGTTGCTTATTGTTTATATTTGGTTGCTTAATTTGGGATACTTGATTTTTATTCATGTTTTCGATATTTGAACAACAAATTTTATTCTTGGTTGTGTGAGTTTTGAGTTTTGGTTTCAGATAATGGGTGTTTTGATATATTATTGGAAACTTTTAATTTAGTTATTTTTCTCGGATGTTACAATTTTCAACTTTATTTAATTTGGTTTATAATTCTGAAATTATTTTCCATGGACCGATTCTTTTTATTTGTTTCACCAAACACACAATGACTTCTGTTATAATTAAATTTCCACGTCTATTCTTAAAAGGAAAAAGGGGGCAAGCTTTAGTGTTAGTTTGCATAAAACTCAACCACCAATGGGTTGCTTTATTTTGTCAAACAAAAAAAAAAAAAGTTGGTTTCTATATATATCTCAAGCACGAGTTGATAGTAGTTGGTTTATATATATATATATATATATATATATATATATATATATATATGGTTTCACATGATACCAAATATAATATATATATATATATATATATATATATATATCTCGGTGTTTCTATTGTTTTCTTTGAGAAGAAAGTAATTTGTTTTAAAATAATATATTGTTATGATATAGTCGTCGTGGTTTGCACAGTAAATATTCTTTATAGAAGAACAATCAAATGTAAACAAACTATACAAACCATTTTTATTCGTCGATTTCATTGTTTAATCTTGTGAATTTTTTTTTCATATAATATTTTTTTGATGAAGTTGTTTCATATATAGTTATGAAATTGTTTCATATATGGTTATGAAATTTTAATGAAACTGTTTCATTATTTCTCTAAAATTAATATAATGAATATGATAATATCTATGATTAACATTCTTCACAATAAAAACGATTAATCCACCTCTCATAATTACAAAAAAATGAACAAAATGAAAATTATGATTGGTTGAATGAGGTTTGCACGGTTTATACGAATAACGTGGTTTGCAAAGTAAGTATCATCTCTTTCTTTCTCTTTATATATATATATATATATATATATAGAGAGAGAGAGAGAGAGGAGCGATCAAATGAAAACCGCATTCATTTGTGTAAACCATGTAAACCAATCTCATCCATCMATTTTCTTGAYCAATGGTCAAGATTAGTTTAGGTTATATTAGGAAATTAAAATAAATAAATAAATAAAATTTTATTTTATAATCCTTATAAAGGCAAAATGGTAACTTTGGTAGTGATAATATTGATGCCAACCATATCATGTATATCGTAATATTAATGAAACAAAATCATTTGTAAAATAATATATTAATTTTATGTTCAAATATTATAAATAAAATTACATCCATCATTAAAATAGATCAACAATAAAAATAAAAGACACTATAATCAATTTAACAAAATGAAACCTTTTGAATAATAATAAAAAATTTACTACTACATTTCATGAACGAAATGGTTTAACAGTTTTATCAATACACAAATCAACGTAATGTTAGATGAGGCATTTATCATT